ACTAAAAAAATAAATATTTAAAAAAAAAAAAAAAAGAATTTGCCAGAAATCAAAATGTTTAGAATTATGTTTGAAGCCACTTTTTGCCATGCATTTTTATTGAGGTTTATTTTATAAACAGTAAAAATGTATACCCATTTTCAGCATAGAGTTCAATGAGTTTTGATAAATACATACAGAACATTCCACTCAACTCCAAAAATTCCTTCATGTCTTAGTCTGTTCTCTGTTACTAAAATAGTACACCTAGGGCTGGGTAATTTATAAAGAAGTTTATTTTGGCTCATGGTTCTGAAGGTCAGGAAGTTCAAGAGCACTGTGCTGGCATCTGCTTGGCTTCTGGTGAGGGCCTCATGGTCCACAGCAGAGGGGAGGAAGGTGGGTGGAGAAGAAGGGAGGTGAAAAGGGGGCCAGATGCTTTATAACAACTGATTCTCAAGATCAAGAAAGACATTCATCCCTCTTACAGGCTCCACGTCCCAACACCCCTACATGGAAAACCAAATTTCACCATTGGTGAAGGCGATCCCCCACTCACTGTCTTGACAGGGTCACAGTGAGAAAAAGTGCTGGCAAAGCCGCTCTCCCACTGTCTTGACAGGGTCACAGTGAGGATGAATGCTGGCAAAGCCACGCTTGGTTGGTGGGAAACCGAAACCATGAGACCTTTTTTTATGTAATTGGGACTTTTCATTTTCATGCTTATGATCCTGACAGGAGGTATGAGCATGTTAAATGCCAAACAAATTAAATTTCAGATGGCTAGAACATAACAGGTAGTTCATGCCTTGGAGGCTATTCTACTACCCCTCAGCATATCAAGGACAAAGTAGAAGGCTGTTCTTCTATCTCAGTACATTGAGGACAAATCTGATAATGGACAACAATCATCCTCTGAAAGGTCATGAAAATTTTAGGCACCACATTGATTATATCAACTAGAACCCAAGCCCATATTTCCGGCCTCTTAGAAAACCTAATCATTATGCTTATTTTACAAAGTTCATCACATGCAGTCTCATTTTTGATTAAGGAAAGTTATATTATACACTTAGGAAAGTTAAAACATATAAAGATATATTCTTCTCTTTTTATAAACCCCTTTTTTACTTTACATAGGGATATATGATGAGCATAGTTAATATTGGTGGAAAGTGGATTCATGTTTAGAACTTACTTTCTATTGAGAAAGATTATAAAGATATGAGAACTAGTGCACCTTGACTGAGAAACAAAGAAACTCTTTGAGAAAGCAGCTCAACCAGTTTTATGAGAATAAATTTAGGAATTAATTAAAATAGCTTTATAGACAGTTTTAGAATAATGTTAGAAATATTATTTTATTTAGATTCTTAAGTTTAGAAATTCTTAAGTTTTTAGTTGTATGGGTTTCTGATATGTTTTAAGAATGATTTATAAACTTTAGGATGTTTTAAGTATAAGATTTAAGGGGACTTTTTTAGATGGGAATTTTAGATTAGAAATAAGGTACAAGTATACTTTAAACTTAAAGGTTAATGATTGGTTAGGAGACTTAGAGTCTGGTTACGTAGTTTGGCATTAGTTAATAAGAAAATAACATATCTTGGGGAAAATAGTAAATCTTGGGAAAATCTGAAAAATGTAAATTAGTGACATATTTTATTAATGATTCTGTACTTTTAATAATTAAATAACTAAAGGTCATATCCTGGAAAAATATAAATTAATGTTACATTTTTTTGTACCCCCAGTCATGGTTAAGGAAATGTCATGTCTTGGCAAAGTTTTAAATTATATAATCAATGACATATTCTGAATCTATAATAATGAGAAGAATTGTAATAAAAGATGACCCAGAGAAAGCTGCATTAGAGCTCTCTCTCTGGAGAGTGCTCCAACGGAACGACTCCTGTCTCATCTTTTCGCCAACGCCACTCATCCTTCAGGACTCCCTGGACCCCAGCACACCATGATTTTGGGTGGCGAAAAACCACATCCAGACCACACCAATGTTCTTCATATTCTCCCCCCAAGACAGAAAGTAATCTGATTCCCTTCTCTTTAGATTCGTTTTGTCTGGTGTAGAATTTCATACAGCAGAATTTCTCTTTTGTGTCTGGCTTCTTTCCCTCCACATTAGGTCTAAGAGATTCATCTACACTGTTCCATCATTCGTTCCCTTTCATTGCTGAGCAGTATTCCTTTATCTCTGTCAGTTCTTTTGTTAGATACCTAGGCTGTTTCCAGGTTTTTTTCTAATATGAAGAAAGCTAACTGAACATTTATGTAGAAGCTTTGGTGCAAACATTTTGCAGCAGCATCCTGTGGCTAGCACATCAGAACCTACTTTGTGCACCTCTTTTCGACTCTGGTTTAGTGATGTCATATTGGTAGCTTGAAATAGCCACGGTGGGAATCTAAATGCCACAACTAAAAAATGCTACAAGAAAGAGCTCCTTTTCTTTCCTGCTAACATCAGCATACCACTGGACATATGTTTTCAATTCTCTGAATTAAATACCTAGAAGCCATATTGCTGGGTTACATGGTGGGTTTATATTGAACTTTATACAAAGGTGACAAACTGTTTCCTAAGAGGTTGTACCATTTTACACTCCTGATATACGAAATGCTTCAGTTGCTCCACATTCTCTTCAATCCATGGTATTGTCATTCTTTTTAATTTTAGACATTAAATGGTGAAGATCTGAACAAAAAGGGGGAGGTGGGAAATAGAAATTATACGAAGGCCTGGTAAGTAGAACTTCTAAACTTCTGTTTGTTTCTTCTTCTTTTTTTTTTTTTGGCTTGGGATTGAAACCAGGGGAACTTACCCACTGAGCCACATCCCCAGCCCTTTTATAGTTTATTTAGAGACAGAGTCTCACTGAGTTATTTAGGGCCTCACTAAGTTGTGAGGCTGGCTTGGAACTCAAAATCCTCCTTGCCTTTAAGTCTCCTGAGCCACTGGGATTACAGATGTGTGCCACCGCACCTGGTTTCTATTTCTTTTAATAGAAAAAGTACTCAGTGAAGCAAGTTGAGGCCTCCTTACCTAGTGACCTTTCTCTCTTCTTTCTCATCTGGAGCCAGGCACATGGATGAAACTCCTAAGGAGACAAGGAGATAGGGATATTGTTTATATTGTTTGCATTTCAAAGAGATGGCTCCAATGTTCTTAAGGAATCAAAAAGGGATGCTAAATCTTTAAACAAGAGAATGTTATCACTTCAAAGACAAAAGGCCATTCAAATCATTGGGGAAATAATTAAAAACGAAATCTCCTGCCAATCCAGTAAAGACTCTCCACAAAGACAGAAAAAAAAATGAAAAATTTCATTAATGTATAAGCATTAAACTAGGCTGTGATTTGTATCACAAGAAATCTGATAAGACATTTCTTTTTTTTTGGGGGGGGGGACTGCTGGGGATAGAAGTCAGAGGCACTTGACCACTGAGCTACATCCCCAGTCCTATTTTTGTATTATATTTAGAGAGAGATTCTCACTGAGTTGCTTAGGACCTCGCTAAATTGCTGAGGCTGGCTTTGAACTCACAATTCTCCTGTCTTGGCCTCCTGAGTCACTGGGATCACAGGCATGTGCCACTATGCCAGGCCTGCTAAGACATTTCAAAGACAGAAAGAAATGTCATGCTTTTATGTAGCCAGGCAGATATACATGTTTTCAAAATAACTAATAACTTGTCCTCAAGTAAGAAACTTGACAACACCGTTTGGGACACAGAGTTCATCCCAAATTCAACTGGGATTGCAACCTGTTAATTAATTTCCTTTATCCAAAGGAAAACTAAGACTCTTATCTCTATGACATTTGGATAACAACTTGGAGCTAGGCATGGAGGCTGAAATTCCCTCAGAGGCAGGGAGATAGGGATGTTACTTTCATTGTTTACATTTCAAGTAGATGCCTCCAAGGCTCTTACGAAAACACAATTGTCTTTATCCAAAGGAAAACTAAGATTTATATCTCTATGACAACAACTTGGAGGCAGGAATACAGAACACAATTCCCAGAGAGAGGGAGATAGGGATATTATTTTCATTCTAAACCTTTCAAAGAAATGGCTACAAGGCCCTTAAGGAAAACACTCTGCAACTGTAAAACTGGCAAGACACCTACTTAGCTTTTAAAATGATTTACATACGTCTCAAACGGTCAGAGAAAAATTTATAATTTTTTTCTGAAGTAAATGATCGAAGAAAAGATGGGCAGGGAGGGGTCTTTTTAAAATGTTTCTTTCAGTTGTTGATGGACCTTTATTTTATTTATTTACATACTGTGCTAAGGATCAAACCCAGTGCCTCATACATACTAGGCAAGTGCTCTACCACTGAGCCACAACCCGAGCCTGGTCTTTCTTGATACCAGGAAATAGTTAACTTTCAATTTTTTTATTTATCCTACAACACCACCACACATTGACTGCTACAGTGCTCCATTCCAGATCCACGTTTCCCTCTTCACCTATCTTTCAAAATCCTCATCAATCCCTTTACTAAAGGAAGCATCCCAGAACTACTGTTCTGGTCACCTCTCCAAGGGCCAGACCCCCAGCCCCCAGTCACTCCAGAGGAACCACTGTTATCAAAGGCTATGACTAGTTTCCTAGAGCTGCTAAACATTGCACATCATTTTGGTCTGATTTCAACCCATTTCAAAGACAGTAAAACTGAGACACAGGAAAATCCTAAAAAGATGCTCAGGGTACTACCCCCAAATTGCATTTAAGGATTTCAACGCTTAGACTCCTAACCGCTAAGGACAGCCTCAAATGGCCGGGGTGTGTGTGTGTGTGGGGGGGGGGGAAACCTTCGTTATTCCAGGGCACAATCGAGGGTGAAAACCCTTCGCACGCAGTTCTCGCCCAACTGCGCCTGCGCGAGTCAGAGCGTGCGAGTTTGCCCCAGACACTGACGTTACAGGCCGCCCCTCCTAATCCGGAACACGACCAACATTCCGCTGGTCCTGCCTTGACGGGCGTGGTCACAATCCAATAAAAATGGAGGGCTGAGTCCCTCTGAGCCAATGGCAAAAGTTTGAGGGGAGGTGGAGGCGGAATGTGAGAGGAAACAAGAAGACAGGCCCAAGATGGAGGCGGTGGCGGCAGTAGCGGCGTGACAGGTGAGGGCGGGCCCGGTAGATTTCGTTTCTGGAGCGGCCGCCAGGCACAGGCACGGAGCCCGGACCAAAAGCTCAGCTCCAGGATGGCTGCGCCTGTACTCAGGCGCCCCCCGCCCGGAACTGGAGGAGTGGTTTGACCCGGGGCGAGACCATCATCAACAGCGGGGGCGGGGTGGGTAGACAGGAATAGGCGGGCAAGGCTGTGGGATGGTTTCGCCTGCAGCGAGTGCCCGCGCGCCTGCGCAGAGCCCGAAAATCTTCGGGAGGCGGGACCAGGCCAGAATGGGGTCTGGATCGTGAGTGTGTGGTTTCCAGATTCAGTCTTGAACTCCTTAGAGTGACTGATAATTTTCTTACTGACTCCAGAGACTTGGTGGAGATGCCCCCTCGCTCCTTGGCTTCCTTATTCTGGATCAATGTTTATACCCCTAGGGATATACCTGAGTATTCCATTACCCCTCTTTCACCTTCCCAAACTCCTTCCGTGATCCACCACAGAATTTACGCCAGTAATCTGTTTGTGACCCCTCATTTGTTGTCAGGGGGAATTTTGGAGACTCCCCACCCCGACCTTACCTCCATTTTCTCAAATCTACACCATTATTTTCCCTATACCAAATGTCTGGTGAGCCACCATTACCAATCCCGTTTGGCCCAATGTGTGGTGACTCCCATTATCCACCCTTCTCCCCATTACAGTCCCTAGTGACTCCTATTACATCTGTCCAGCATACTGTCTGGTGACCTCCATTAAGCACCTATCACAATGTTTGTGATCCTGCCATCAACTTTATACCCCAGGGCTTAGGGACACCCATAATACCTTTATTTTCCCAAATTAAGGGCAATATCTGATAATCCTCCCATTTCCTTTCCTCCCCCTGTGACTGCTCCTTCACCACAGTGGTCACCCCCTTCTCCATTAAAAGACCAGGACAGCCTGTTCATGCCCATTATGTAACTGACACCCCCAGTGCAGTGCATGCTGACTTCCCCATTAGTCCCTGGCACAAAGTCTTGTATACTCCTGTATCTTCCAGGACAGTGTGTGCTGCTTCTCATTGTGTCCCTGCTGCCTCTCTGCTGCAGTGAGTTTGGAGATCTTGTCACCCAAGAATGAGACAAACAGCAGGAGAGTCTAAGCAGAGGAGGGACTGAGTAGACTTCAGATGTTAACAGGATCCTTAGGCTGTTATATGGAAATTAGGCTGCAGAGGACAGTGGGAATCTGGAGATGGAATATTTTTTTATGGTACTGGGAATTAAACCTAGCGGCACTTTACCACTGAATTGCCTCCCTAGTTCTTTTGCTTTGTATTTTAAGACAGGGTCTCACTAAATTGTTGAGGCTAGCATCAAACTCGAGATACCCCTGCCTCAGCCTTCTGACTCATGGAAATTGCAGGCATACACCACTATGCCAGGCTAGAGATGAAATTTTTATGTATTTATTTGCAGTGCTAGGGATTGAAACCCAGGACACTCTGCCACTGAGACATATCCCTGGTCCTTTATTAATTTTTAATTTTGAGACATGGTCTTGCTAAATTGCTGAGTCTGACCTTAAACTTGCAGTTTTCGTGTCTCAGCCTCCTGATTCACTGGGATTGTAGGCATGGACCACGGTACTGGGCTAGAGATGGAATTTTATTTTATTCCCTGATACTTTGCTTTTAGAATCATTGTTTGACCTCTGAAATTCTCCTCTGTTTACTCTCTCCTAGGAGCCTCATGGCACCTGCCCAGCCTCACCTCAGACCATCTTGACAAAGTCTTAGGCTCCATGGAGCCGCCACGGGGCCCCCCTGCCAACGGGGCTGAGCCGTCCCGGGCAGTGGGCACTGTCAAAGTGTACCTGCCCAACAAGCAACGCACAGTGGTGAGTCACAGAGGTGAAACTCTTAGGGGTTGTGGATGGACCCAGTTATAAGTTTTCAGATTGGCAGGGTGACAAGGGCTTGGGAGTGGCCATTGCAGAGGAATGGGATTATCAGCTGGGGCTGTTTCTGTTGGGCACTGAGGGCCTCTGCCTCTGCATACACACATACAGGTGACTGTCCGGGATGGCATGAGTGTCTACGACTCGCTAGACAAGGCCCTCAAGGTGCGAGGCCTCAATCAGGATTGCTGCGTGGTCTACAGACTCATCAAAGGGTAAGTGTGGCAGTAATAATAAGTAAGTGTGGGTGAGCATAGTGGCACACACATGTAACCTCAGCAACTCAGGAGGCCAAGGCAGAAGGATCACAAGTTTGAGGCCAACCTGGGCAACTTAGCAAGACCCTATCTTATAATAAAAATTAAAAAGGGCTGGGATGGTACCTTAGTGACAGAGTTACTTGCCTAGCGTGTGCAAGACCCAAAGTGTGATACTCAGTACCACAAAAAAGTGACTCCCATGCCACCTACTTGTTCTCCCCAGAGTCATCCCTTTCCTTCTTCACTCTGTTGTGAAGCTTTGCATTAGTTCACTTAACCTATAAGCTTATCCATCTTTTATGTCATTACTTCATTAGTTCATTGACCTGGAAAGTCTGCAACTCATCTTCTTGGCCCCAAGTCCTCACCCTGCAGTCACCTCCTTGCAGAGTTCATCTTTTTGCTTTTTCACAATTTCATGAACTCATGAGCTTTCTCCTTCCTCAGCTTCTCCATTTGCTGCTGAGTTGGGCTTTATTGACTTTCCATAGATTCCCCTGTTCTGGGGTTCCTTAATTTTTTATCCTGTTCATACATTGCATTTTATATTTTTAACTCCTTATCAGCCCCTTTCCCAGGCTGGCTTGGCACTTCTTAGATAGTCTCATTTGCCTCTTACCTTGTAATTAAGACAATAGACCCTTCACACAATCTCCTGGTGGCCCCTGGCAAGTCACTTTCTCCCTCTAATCCTATGTCCCTATCTGTAAAATGGGGACAAGGATAGTGACTAATTTAATGAGAATTAAACATGCCAGATATTAGTCCATGGATCTGGGGCTTGGAGGGACTTTGGGGGCTTCCCTGCCTCCCATGATCCCTACCCACCTTCCTACTCATTGCTCTCCATGTCCCCTGCAGGCGAAAGACAGTCACTGCCTGGGACACAGCCATCGCCCCCCTGGATGGTGAGGAACTCATTGTGGAGGTCCTCGAGGATGTGCCGCTAACCATGCACAATTTTGTGAGTGAAGCGTGGACAGAAGCGGCAGGCCATGGGGGTGGGAAGGGCCCTTGACCGGGCCTCAATTTCCCTGCTGTGTGGAAACAGGTACGGAAGACATTCTTCAGCCTGGCGTTCTGTGACTTCTGCCTTAAGTTTCTGTTCCATGGCTTCCGCTGCCAAACCTGTGGCTACAAGTTCCACCAGCATTGTTCCTCCAAGGTTCCCACAGTCTGTGTTGACATGAGTACCAACCGCCGACCGTGAGCCTGGCCTGGGGTGGTTGGGGGAATGGGGAGGGCAGAGACCAGCCATAAGGCCCTTGTAGACAGCTTATCCGTGTTTTCTTGTTTTACACCCTGAATGCCCTCAAGGATCTACCACAGTGTCCAAGATTTGTCTGGAGGCTCCAGGCAGCATGAGGCTCCCTCAAACTGCCCCCCAAATGAGCTGCTAACCCCCCAGGGTCCCAGGTAGGAATACCTTAGGGGCACTGGGGGAGAAAAAAATCTGGGGGGTCCCTGCAGATCACAGACCATGCTTTTATTCATTTATTTACTTGACAAACATTTATTGAGCATCTACAAGAGTAAAGGTATGGAGCTATGGGATCTTGGGCAATTTATCTAATCTCTCTAGGTGTCAGTTTTCCCATCTGTTAAAAGGGAATGATACTTTTTACCACACAAGGCTCTAGTGAGGATTCAGTGAGGTAAAATGTGTAGAGTGTTTAGAGAATTACCTGTTATAGAATAAATAATAATTTATTATTATTAATTATGAACATATAAGCAGCTAACTACTACACTCATTCTTCCAGCATAACCTTGTGCAAACCTTTCCATTTTGAAATACATATTACTTATCATAAATTACTTTCCTTTGGTTTTTTTATATTAAGTATTAAAATGATACATATATAGATGTATATAATATATAGATGTGTATTTTATAATGTTCATACTTAATATGGTTTATTTTTATTATGTGTTGTATTATGGAATATTTTTCTATATATAAAACACCATATATTTTTTATAATACATAAAAGGGTAAGTTTAATTTGGGATATATGTGGATTAATCACCTCTGAATTTCAGAATAGTGAAAGAAACATTAGAAAATCTTTTCATAACATTATAATTTGTATAATCCACATATGGTATATGACATGTTACATGATGATATGTTTTACAACATTACCGTTGTAATACAAGGTATATTATACAATACATGTTTGAATATTATATGTCATTATGATATATAATTATGAAATTCATATCTTACCTTTTTCCCTACATCTTTGTCCCTCACTGTCCCTCGTTTAGGCCTTCAGTGTCACCTTCTTTGAGAAGCCTCCCCTGACACCCCCGGGACACTTTCTGTCCTCTTATTTTGTTCTCTTTTTCCCATTCTTGCTCCTATCACCTGTGAGCTCATTATATATTTCTTTATCTTGATTCCTCTCTTCCTCTGCTGGAATATTGGCTCCACAAGGGCATTTATTTGTTTTGTTCACAGTTTTATCACTTACACCTAGAATGGTTATCTGGTACGTGGCAGGCACTCACTGGGTGTTTCTTGAACAAACAAATGCCAGTATAACCAGTTGGCATTTGCTCTGAATGAGCCAAAGGCATGTTTGGGGTGGCAGGGGTGGGCTCCCTGGGTTTTCTGCTTCATTCCATAGCAACTTCACAGCCTTTTTCCTGTCAGCCCCTGCACTCAGCACCATGACCGGGAGCACTTCCCCTTCCCTGCCTCAGCCAACGCCCCCCTGCAGCGCATCCGCTCCACATCCACTCCCAACGTCCACATGGTCAGCACCACAGCTCCCATGGACTCCAGCCTCATGCAGGTGGGTAGCAAGGGGGGGCACTGGAGGAGCATGGTGCAGGGGTTGAGAGCCATTTCTATTGGCCTCCACATGCTCACCTTGATTTCTGTCCCCCATCTTTCAGCTCACTGGCCAGAGTTTCGGCACCAATGGTGAGAGCCCACCCACCCCACTCCATGCTTACACTCTGTGCCTTCTCTGCCCTGCTGCCCCACTTGCCTCCACTCACATCCTCTCCACAACTGCAGCTGCTGGTAGTAGAGGTGGTGGTGATGGAGGCCCGCGGGGGAGCCCCAACCCATCCAGTGTGTCCTCGGGGAGGAAGTCCCCACATTCCAAGTCACCTTCAGAGCAGCGGGAGCGGAAGTCCTTGGCTGATGAAAAGAAGAAAGTGGTACACTCAAGGGGGAATCTTGGGAAGGGGGCACTGCAGGCTGAGTGACATGGGCTGAAGGGTGTGGGCAGGCCCCTCAGATGATGCCCATCTGGCCCACAGAAGAACCTCGGGTACCGGGACTCAGGCTATTACTGGGAGGTGCCACCCAGTGAGGTGCAGCTGCTGAAGAGAATTGGGACGGGCTCCTTTGGAACCGTGTTTCGCGGGAGGTGGCATGGTGATGTGGCCGTGAAGGTGCTCAAGGTAGCCCAACCCACTGCTGAGCAGGCCCAGGCCTTCAAGAACGAGATGCAGGTGCTCAGGTGAGGTTCTCATGTTTGTGTGGATGGGGTGGTGGGGAGGGGCATGGCAGGTATGGCCTTGGTTCGTCTCTGGGAAAAAGCCATGCTTGGGGTACTTCTTGGATGTCATCTACATTTATGTCATATTGGAACCATAGTCAGAAGTCATTTCTCTCTGAAGGATGTCCCTTTTCCCTTTGGTAAATGGCCATGTTTAGATGGCCTCCATAATTAGAAAAAAATATATACCTTTAGATGACCTCTGATGATGCTGATATCAGCATGGATATTAATTAATGGCTCTGCTTCCAAATTTGAGTCTTCTCATGTGCCTACCTTGAACTGGGCCTGGGATAGGCTTTCATTGCCATGGTCATGGGCATGGAGGTGAAGAGCATAATGTTAAGTAACAGTAGCTCCAGGAAAGCTCATGGCTTTCCTTCCTCACTGTTGTGTAGAACCATTCATGTTATATTTATTGTGTTGCAGGCTTGGTTTTGTTTTTATTTTTTATTTTTTCGTACCTGGATTGAACCCAGGGGCACTTAACCACTGAGCCACATCCCCAGCCCTTTTTATTTTTTGAGACAGGGTCTTGCTAAGTTGCTGAGCCTGGTTTTGAACTTGCCATCTTCCTGCCTCAGCCTCCTGATCCGCTGGGATTACAGGCGTGTGCACCCAGCCACAGGCTTGCTATTAATTATCGTAATGCCTTGATGCAAAGAACAATATTGTTAATTATAATCATAACCATAATTTAATCATTAAGATTATAATTGCTATGATTAATGTCTATTAACATATTGAATTTATGCTGAGAAACTCAGGTGTTCTCTTTTTGTGCTACAGTTATTACATAGCATAGTACTATATGCCTGTGTTCTATATAAGCAGAATGGTATACATTTTGTGTGTGTGTGTGTGTGTATGTGTGTGTGTGGTGCTGTTGATGGAATGCCAGATATACACCCTGCCAATGAGCTACACCTCCAGCCCCCAGGACTATATAGTTTCTGCTGCTCCTCAGAATGTCAGTATGCTCTTCCCCTCTGTCAAATGGACACAATTATAACACAATTATGTTATAGAGTTGATATTATCATAATTACTTGTTCTGTATTAATATTTATGCTGACAATGGTTGGCACAGTAAGAAAACTTTTATTCTTATTTCCTCTCTGTGAAATGGCAGTGATTGGAGCATGTGGTAATTTTATAGACTTACCATTATTAAGAATTGTCAGCTGGACTGGGGATGTAGTTCAGTTGGTAGAGTGCTTGCCTCACATGCACAAGGCCCTGGGTTCTACCCCAGGACCACACAAAAAAATAAATTAATTAATTTAATTAAATGCAGTACTGTTTAAAAAAAAGAATCCTCAGCTGGGCACAGTGATGCATACCTGTAATCCCAGCAGCTCAGCAGGCTGAGGCAGGAGGATCTCGAGTTCAAAGCCAGTGTCAGCAACTTAGTGAGGCCCTGAGCAACTCAGTGAGACCCTGTCTCTAAATAAAATGTAAAAAAGGGGTGGGGACATGGCTCAGGGGTTATGTGCCCCTGGGTTCAATCCCCAGTACCAAAAAGAATCTTTTTGTGCTCTATTTTTCTCCCTGTCATGATCAAAATTTCAGAGCATCATCAAAGTTATTTGTGTTTGTTTTGCCATTTTTAGTTAATACTTTGATAAGGAATGAAACTTTTCTCATAAATTAGGGTAAAATGATTTGTGCCTGGTAGAGTTTCTGTGAGATAGACCCAGGTACACAGGAACAATGACAACAAGGACAGTGATGTTTTCAGAGTGCTTACTATGTGGTCAGCCCTGTTCTAAAGCACCTTACAGGTTGTTTACTCACTCATCTATCCCCATATCCCTATAAGTTAGCCACTGTAATGATCTCAGTTTTACAGTTAAGGAATGTGAGGACCAGAGAGGTTAAATGTCTTCCCCATGGTTGCACAGCGAGGAACTGGTGAAGCCTAGATTTGAACTCAGGACATGAATCTATACTCCAAGCTCTACCTCTAAGCCTCTCACAGTGATTAATCACTCTTACAATGATTAGATACTATTAATCTAATAATATCTGCCTGTCTGTGGGCTGGGATTGGGGTGGGACATTACACAGGGGGAAGGCTATAAGCATTACATGATACCCATATTTTAGCCCTGCATTTGTCAATATAATGATGTCATGTCAATGAGGAAGGTTGTTATTCCACTTTTTCATTTGTAAAATGGTCACAGTGACAGTTGTTCTTTGTCTTCCCCACCCCTAAAACTCCCCTTTCTACCTGCAGGAAGACACGGCATGTCAACATCTTGCTGTTCATGGGCTTCATGACCCGGCCAGGATTTGCCATCATCACACAGTGGTGTGAGGGCTCCAGCCTCTACCACCACCTGCATGTGGCTGACACACGCTTCGACATGGTCCAGCTAATTGACGTTGCCAGGCAGACTGCCCAGGGCATGGAGTGAGCCTTTTGCCTTGGGGACTGAGGAGGGGCAGTGGGGAGAAGGGTGGAGGAGGTAAGTAGCCTCCAGCTAACTCACCGTCTACCTCTACCCCACAGCTACCTCCATGCCAAGAACATCATCCACCGAGACCTCAAGTCTAATAGTATCTGCCTGTCTGTGGGCTGGGATTGGGGTGGGACATTACACAGGCGGAAGGCTTAAGGGGATGGCTCTTGTGTGGGCATTTCTGAGGATGAATGGGGAAGAGTACACGTTGCCTGGCTCCTTGTTGGATATCAGAACTGTGGCTGGTAAGGGGGCCTTAATGGGGTGCCCTTGGTTAGGAGTCAGAGGTGTGGCTGGTTTTGGTACTACTCTTGGGGACTGTGGTCCGGTTGGGGATGTAGCAGTTGTGAATATTATAGGGAGTTTCTGACCAGGGTTATAGATATGGTGGGTTTGGGTGCCATTCAAGGGGCTTTTTGGTTAAGAGTCGCAGTGGGACCAAGTGTAGAGGGCATTAATTATGCATAATTTTATGATATTGGGGGCTTCTGGTCAGGGTCAGAAAAATCACTAATACCAGACATTAATGATAACCTTCCAGTCAGGGTGATTGATAGGCTTGACTATTGGAAATCTGTAGTGGCCCTTGACCCCAGTGGACATCTTCCTGCATGAGGGGCTCACAGTGAAGATAGGCGACTTTGGCTTGGCCACAGTGAAGACAAGATGGAGTGGGGCCCAACCCTTGGAGCAGCCCTCAGGCTCCGTGCTTTGGATGGTGAGTTGGGTCAGGCTGGATGGGGAGGGGCATAGGGAGACACGTGTTCCTAGATTGGGACATATGGAGCCAAACAGAGACAGGGATGCCTGTGACAGTGTGGGTGTTATGTTTCACCTTGTGGGGGTAGCTCCAAGTTGTGCCAGTGTGGCCAGCCAGATGTGGAACTATGGGCCACATCTGCTGTCCCTCATGCTTTCCCTGCCCCATCTGGCCTATTAAAGGCGGCTGAGGTGATCCGTATGCAGGACCCAAACCCCTACAGTTTCCAGTCGGACGTCTATGCCTACGGGGTTGTGCTCTATGAGCTCATGACAGGCTCACTACCTTACAGTCACATTGGCAGCCGTGACCAGGTAAGCCCTACACATTACCCATGGTTTCCCTCTGTCCTTCACACCCCATATCCCTTGCTCTGCCCAAAGAATGGTACACTTCACCCAGAAACCTAGAATTTTCTGGAATGAGAACTCCAAGAGTTAATCCCATAAGGAATCCTATGCCAACTTCCCTCCTTCCCCTACATCCACAACCTCTGGGACAAAAGCCTTAAAGCCCAGAGTCCTCTGAATCTTGTACCCAGAATGCTGTAGACCCCAAGATTCTCAGAAGCCTTCCAGAGATTTCCTAGGCATCTACAGTCTTCTCTGGATACTCAAAATACTACAGGTTCCCAAAACCCAGAATTCCATTTCTCTGAGAAATAAAATCCCCCATGCTTCCAGAATATTCACAAATACTCAAAATCACCCAGACTTTGAATATCTGTCAGGCTCTGGGGCCCTGGTACCCATAATTTTGTAGGCCCCAGGATCTCATAGTTCTTTGGGTTCAGGGCCTAGAACCTCCCAGGCCCTCAGGAACCCAGAATCCTCTGACTCCTAACCAAGGGCACCCCATTAAGGCCCCCTTACCAGCCAAGTGTCTGGGAGAAGGTTTAAGGGGAATACTCAGAGTCCTGCAGAAAATGTGGACTCAGACATTTAGGTCCCAGACTTCCATGGAAATATAAGTTTCCCCAGATTCAGAACTGCATGTTTCCCCAAGGCTCGGTACTTTCTAGGTTCTAAGCCCCCTAGACAACTGTGGACTTAGTCCTATATACCTACAATCCTCAACAACCCCAAACTTAAATTTTTCTATTTTGTAGGCAGAGAAACCTCCCAAGTCTTCAGAGACTCATAATTTTCTGGGCCTTAATACCTGGAGCCCCCCTATTCCCCAAAAATGAGCTTTCCACATCACTCAAGACCCCAAATTCTCTGCATCTAACAGCTCAAACCCTAAAACTACCCCATTCCTGCCCCTCCCTCAGATCATCTTCATGGTAGGCCGTGGCTATCTGTCTCCGGACCTCAGCAAAATCTCCAGTAACTGCCCCAAGGCCATGCGGCGCCTGCTGTCTGACTGCCTCAAGTTCCAGCGGGAGGAGCGGCCCCTCTTCCCCCAGGTGAGCTGGGTAGGAGGGCTGGATACCTTGATAGGGGGACTCCAAGGCAGAGAGAGAGTGGGGATGGAGGCAGATGTGAATGTGAATTGTGTCAGAGTTCAGATACACTGTGTGTGTGTGTTTCCCCATTAGGCTGGGGCCTGGGGTGTTGGGGTGCCCACGGAGCTCCAGACACTCCTCCTCATCCCCACCTGCCCCCAGATCCTGGCCACGATTGAGCTGCTGCAACGGTCACTCCCCAAGATTGAGCGGAGTGCCTCTGAACCCTCCTTGCACCGCACCCAGGCTGATGAGTTGCCTGCCTGCCTCCTCAGCGCAGCCCGCCTTGTGCCTTAGGCCCTGCCCCCAGCCACCGGGGAGCCCACCTCAGTCTGCCACGCCATGGAGTCCTGCCCACCAGCCAGTGTTCCATCTCTGTCTTGATACTGCCTCAGGATCCCCCATCTCTCACCCTGGGAGATGGTGGTGATCCCCTTGAGCTCTTCAGTTCCTCTGGAATTGGGGGACCCCCCCCAGAGACTGAGACCCCTGCCTCTTCCATAATTTGGTTTACTCTTGGCTTTGGGGAATACTTCTAAATTTGGGGTGCACCTCCATCTCCACTAGCTGGACTTTGTGGCAGGGATTCCACTTAGAACCTCTCTGGAATTTGTGCCTAATGTGCCTTCACTGGATTTTGGGGTTCCCCAGCACCCCATATGGATTTGGGGGTCTTCTGTGTCTCCCCTGCCAGTCAAGGACTCCCCTCTTTCTTCACCAAGAAGCACAGAATTCTGCTGGGCCTTTGCTTGTTTATTTTGCTTCCCGACTCTTCTCTGGGGTTCAGAGCCGCTGAGGGGAGGAAATCCAGGCAAGGAGTGGAGGTTGGGGGGAGGTGCAGACCACACAAACAGCGTCACTGCACGCATCACCACAGGCGGCACGATGAACGAGGACCACATATGCCAAGCACGGCACAAGAGGAGGCCACGTCAGTCACAGACACAGACATCACGGCAAAGGTGGGGAAGTGGGAGACCATTGGCCTTCCCTGTGCAAAGGATTCTGGGTGGAGGGGTGGAGTTTGCATATTTAAAGACAGCTGTCAGAGGCAGGAAACTTGGGAGGGGGGGTCCCTGGGGGAACCGAGGGGTCCTAGAAGTGAGAGGAGCTCCCAGTGTGTTGAATGATGTTGAGGAGAAGAGGGTGAAGGGAGATTTTTATGGAACTCTGGTGGGTAGCATTTGAAGATGTGGGTCTCCAGAGAGATGGGAGATCCATGGAGAGGCTTTTAAAGGTAGGGATTTCTCGGAATTGGAAAATTTTGATGAGGAACACGGTGTGCTGGAGAGATTTAGGACCAGGAATAGGTTTTTCCAGGAGTTTCTGGACTCAAGGAGGGCATTCAGTGGTGTTAGGGCCAGAAACAGGTTGCCTGGTATTTGGGAGCTTCCAGGAAGGAAATATTCTTTGGGTTACTGGGAGTGGAGGTCTTAAGGAATTTGGAGGTTCTAAAACAGTAGATCTTGAGGTGACCAGGAGCAGGATTCTAATAGGACTTAGGGATCCCAAACGTGAGAACTGGATTTAGGACCAGGTGTCACAAGGAACTTAGGCATCTTGAGGAATGATAAGTGGGGTGTTGGAGAACCAGGAGAGGAGTTCTCAAGGAATTTAGAGATTCCAAAAGTGAATAATGGATTCAGGGCCCAGAGAGGGTTTGCCCAGGGATTTGGGGATTCTCAGGGTGGGGTGTCAGTCGGAGAAGAGGCTGGCGAAAGACTTCCTCAGGCTGCGGATGGTCTCAGCTTTCACCTCGTCCTGGCTAAGGCTGGGCCTGGGCGGGGCTGGCTCTGGAAGGTTGAAGGCATTGGTCAGAGACTGGGATTTGCTAGAGAGAGACAAGGTGGAGGCGTGGGAGGAAGGGGGGAAGAGGAAGGGGAGGAGGGGAGAGAAACACAATGTTACCCCAGGCCCGGCCCCAGCCCTGCCCCTCTGATCCTGGGGCTGTGCCTCTGACCTTCCCCCCCCACCACCTCGGGCCGGAACCCTGATGGATTCTTGAGGCTGGGAGGACTTGTGGGGTGGGCGGAGCCCAGGGCCAGGGAGTTGGGATGTGGGGCCAGCTGGGAAGACTTAGATGCAAGGTGTGGAAGTGTGGGATTGGTGAGAGGAGTCATGGGCTGAATCATATCTTTGAATTTTTAGGCTAGTTTGATATGAAAGGGGAGATGAGGTTTTAAGGCTAGGGGGAAGGGTTTGGATTGGACCAGAAGAAGCAAAGAGAATGGTGTGATGATTTGGGAGGATACTGAGGTAGGCCAAAAGGATTTGTGGTGGACCAGAAACGAGCCCATACTTTAGGGGAAAGCCTGAGGCTCTACTGCTGAGTGAAATGATACAAGGACTATGAGTCAGCCACGAGGTGTTTTAGGGATGGGTTGGGGGGAAGAGGCAGGGAGTTTGGCAGGGAAGTCTGAGTTGAGCTGGAAAGAGATTCGCTAGGCAGGGAAGTGCTCAAAATGGGTCTGCCAGGCGCCTGGGTTGGGCCAAGGACCTGGAATGGGGACTTTCCCAGGGCCTGTTGGGAGGAATCTGAACTGAAAGAATTTCTCTGGGATTCTGGCACCAAATCCCTGGAATGGAGACAAAAGGATCTGGGATGGAGGGGAGGAGTGAAAGCCTGGGGGAGGGGTTTGGCTTCAGCTCCCACAGAATAGGTCCACGGTCTGAGGAGCATGGGAACTAGGGCTGCCCTACTGGGGCCAGAGCCCGCTTTGTGAGCAGCAAGGCGAAGGCTGCTGTAGGAGTCCCCTTACTTGAGCTGGGGGTGAGGGGGTCCCCCGGCAGCGGCGGTGGCAGGTGGCGGCACGTCCTGGCTGGGTTTCTGGGCCAGCTGTGGTTTGGCAGGACGTCCAGCGGGACCTGGGCCGCTGGGCCTGGGCTGCTGCGTGGTGGGTGGCCCAGTGCGGGGTCCAGGACCTGCCTGGCTGGCCTGGCGTGTAGGACCAGCAGGGCCTGGGGGTTTCTGGGGAGGGCCTTGGCGCTGCGGCCCACCGGGTGGGGCCCCTGAGGCCTTTGGTGGAGCTGGACCAGAGACAGATGTTTGGCGGGTAGCCTGTGGGGGGCCTGCCTGGCGCTGGGGAGATGGGGAGGCAGGTGGGCGGGCTGCTGGAGGCGCCCCAGGGCCTCCTGCCACTGGCCGGGATTGGCGGCCTTGACCCTGGGTCATCTGTGTGGCCTGGGATGCGGGCTGCTGGGGTGCGGATGTGGGACTTGGTAGGCGCTGAGGCAGAGGGCTGCCAGCTGGGGGTCCAAGGCCTGAAAGGTGCTGCTGGCCCTGTGGTGGAGGGCGCTGTTGCAGTGGGGGTCCCTGGCGCTGGGGCCCTGGGCCAGGCTGTGGAGGGCCACCTAGGGGACAGAGAGAGAAGGCACATATGAGAGGGAGCAGTGAAAGGTGGGGTCTACTTGAGACCAGAGGGGCTGAGAAAGCCTGCCCTCACTTACCCTGGGGCGGAGGTCGCTGCTGAGCTGGAGGCCCTGCAGGCTGCTGGGAGGTCTGGCGGCCCAAGGGCAGGGCCCCTGGGGATGGAGTCTACGGCAGAGGAATGGAGAAGACAGGTTAAACATAGTTACCAACCTATGGAGTACCGGCCAAGTCAGGGTGACATGGGTTCCCTCTTTGCTGGGTGTTGCCCCATTTGTGGCCAGATGAGGAGATATGGGGTTTTGAGGCTCCCACCCCATACTCAGGGTAGAGAAGCACTCAGGGAAGTCAGGGTAGCAGTGATTTATCATTTTTTAAAACAACTGGCAGTTGTAGCCACATGTGCATTAAGGTGATGCTAGTTGAACCTCTGGTTATAAAGTTTTAATTCCTACACAATTGCCAGCCTCTGCCATCTTAACAAAACTGATTATGCTCTGCCATCTTAGCCTACTGATTATGGGTTCAGTGGGGTATCTTGACTAAGGGCTGGCCTCCCTGCCAGTAGCTCAATGCCAAGGGCCTTACCTGGCTGTGGGAGCCCCTGCCAGGGGAGGCATCCCTCTGCCGCTGCCGGGGCAGGGCCTGAGCCATCTTGTTGACCACGAGTTCCACGATGAGCTGCTTATCTTCATCCTGGTGGTCACCTATAAGAGGCATGGAGGATCCCACCACCTGGGAGATGAAAAGGGATCCAGTGAGTGGCGAGGCAGAAAGTGCATGTGAGGTGACAGTGAGAATACTTTTGCTCGGCAAAAGCAAGGCACTGCAAGGAAGTGAGCTCCAGTTTCTAAGTGGCCTTGATTATTCCCTGTGAGGAGGGCTTGTCTGTTATGAGGCACCTGACAGCTTCCTAGGTACATTAGAGCAGGGTCTGCAAATCAGGGCCCTTGGGCCAAATCTGGCCTGGCGTGCTGCCTGTTTTTGTATGGGCTGTGAGCCAAGGATGGTACCAGGGATTGAAGCCAGGGGCACTTAACCACTGAGCCACACCCCCCCAGCCCTTTTTTATATTTAAAAATTTTTTTTTAGTTGTAGATGAACATAATACCTTATTTTATTATATTTATGTGGTGCTGAGGATCGAACCCAGTGCCTCACTCATGATAGGCAAGCACTCAGCCACTGAACTACAACCCCAGTCCCTCCCCAGCCCTTTTAAAATTTTATTTAGAGACAGGATCTCGCTGAGTTAATTAGGGTCTTGCAAAGTTGCTGAGGCTGGCTTTGAACTCGCGATCCTCCTGCCTCAGCCTCCCGAGCCGCTAGGATTATAGGTGTGCGCCACCTCACCCGGCCTGATATCTTTTAATGGTTGAAAAAAATGAAAAGATTTGATGACATGTAAAAAATAAGAAATTTAAATTTCAGTGTCCATAAACAAATTTTGGACACAAATACATACATTGTATCCCATCATCACACTTAAGGTGTTTACATATTGTCTTTGGCTGCTTTTGCAGAGTTGTGTCATTGCAATAGACCGTGTGGCCAACAAAGTCCAAAATATATACTGTCTGGTTCTTTACAGAAAATGTTTGCCAGTCCCCACTTTATAGTTTGCTAGGTGCTTTGTCTTTTACAACATGCTTCAGCATTGGCCCAGTTTCACAGAACAATTTCAAGGTAACTAAGTGCTTTGCCATTCATCAAGATGTCTTGATTCACTGAGCACTTTCTAGTTTAATACGTTTTACCATTCACCAAGGATGTCCAAGTTCACAGAGCAGGTTAGTTTTGGGTTTTTTTTGGTTGGTTTTATGGTGCTGGGGATGGCCCATGACCTTGTGCATGCTCCACAAGCACTCCACCACTGACCTACAAACCCCGACCCCAGCTTAGAGTTTAAGTGTTTTGACATTTGCTAGGGATGTCCCAGTTCACAAGGTATTTTACAGTTTACCAAACACATTGTCATTTGCTGAGGACTTTCGGAGCTGCGGAGTGCTTCACAGTTCTGTGTGTTGATGCTATGGATGTGTTCCTCACTCTGTGCCCCACTGATCTCTGGGTGCTCCCACCTCAATGATGTGATCCCTTCCGTCCTTTCCATGCAGTGCTTCCACCGCGCAGATGTCCAGTCCCCCAAAGATCTCCGAGCATGTATCCACCCACAGCTTGTACCTGCCAAGAAGAGGGGCAGGGCAGCCTATCAGCGCTTTGCTCAGGTGGCCACACTCCTGCCCTCCGTCCCCTCCCCCACCCCTCCCCTCTCCACCCCTCCCCCTCCCCCACCCCACCCCCCCTCCTCTGAGTTCAGGTGCCCCACCTGTCAGACATGGCGATCTGCTCAAGCATCGCAGAGCCTGTGTTGGTCTTCCAGTTCCCTGACACTGACGTCCTCCTGGAGGACAAGAGAAGAGAGAGTCAGGGGGTCTCTGGGCTGCATGGGACAGAGCAGGGGACCCCTTCCTGAGCGCCCATCTCTCCACTCACATGTAAGCTTTGTAGTTCTGCCCAATCTTCTGGACACGCACATCATATTTGGCATCAATGAAGGGCTCAGCAGTGGCATATGTCTTGGTCAGCGCCACAACACTTGCAATGTCCTGAAAGTCGTGCTGGTTGTCCACTTTGACCTATGGGCATAGGGGTGGGGATCAGGACAGCAGTGGGGAGTGGGTGCTCCTGGAGTGGTGTGTACACATGACACACAGTACATAAAAATTAGGTGGGCACTCTAAGGCACTCAAGCATGCATAATTGTGGGTCTCCTGTTTTGTCCATGGGCACAAACACAGAGTTGGGTATATACAACTCTATGAGCAAAAAACCCCCACTAAATTGACCATTTTAAATGGGTAAGTTCTAAGGCATGTGAATTCTTAATAAAGCTGTAAAAAAAATCCTTTGTGTCCATACAGTATGCACATATGGGCAGCCAGACACAGACCTGGTTGTATACACAATATACAAACATAGAAGCGGGACACACTCAAACTTACAAATTACAAGTCTGCTTATACACACACAGACAAAATCAGCTGGATGGCAAGCATACTGGACCCCAAGACCCTGGAACATAAAAAATGACATGGTGCATATTCAGCACAGAGACATGCATATCCACGCAGATACAGTGCTGGAGATGCTAGCATGGTAACAGGACGTACAAAATTGGCTGAACACACATTAAAAAAATAGGCTAACAAAATAGTTGAATATGAGAAAGCAAAAATCTAAATACATGAAGACATCCCAGGACACACTGTCAAACTTACTGGTGTGCACAGAGCTCACGAAGACATACCTACAAGACCACAGTGCCAGGAGCATTCACAGCAGATACGTGCACACCACGAGCACACACCCCAGCTGGAAACTCACCTTGCCCATTCCCGAGTGTGCATGCCCCATCTTCACAACCACAGGGTACGTTGTGCTGCTAAGCTGGAGGGGACAAAGGCAGAAGAGCCATGGTCAGGGAAGGAGTGCCAACCACCAAGAGTGAGTTGGTGTTCAGCAACCCCATCCAGCATGAGCCACAGTATGAGCATTCTGCAGAAAAGGTGGGTTAGACCCAGTTGGGCAGCAGCTGGGAGTCACACAGCATCTCCAAGCCCAGATTCAAACCCAGTCCTGCCTGCCTGTCCCTCCCTCCACCCACTAAGTCCCACACTTCCTGCCCCTGGTTTCCCAGGGCAAGGCATGGGATGAGGGTGGGGGACTTTCCCAGAAAAGAGAAAGTTTGTTTTTATAGTGGATGGATGACAGTGAGGTGAGTGTGCATGTGTGTATGGGGGTGTGGTGGTTAGCATGTAGCAATCGGACCTCTCAGCCAAGCATTGTATGTAAGCCTCATCCACACACGTACACAACTTACGGGACACACAAACCTTCAGACTTGATCTACCCAGCCAAACCCAGAGATGCTCAAGCATGTTGAGAAGACCAACCAACGTATGCCCAAAGCACACCTAACTCCGGGGCTGCAGAGACCCACATAGTCATTCCCCACAAGGCCATTCTGCCATCCAGGGGCTCAAAACATGGACAGAAGCCAGTACTCCTGGACTCAAACACACATCAGCTCCCTTGCCCAAACCTGACTGACAGAGAGATGCACAGATCCTTTGGGTCACTCATACAATACAGAGGCTCACACAATTTTTCAGGCACATGCAACAGAACTGGGCATATATTCAACACTTACAGGCACACATGGAACACTCCTAGTCACATGCACAACCAATAGAAGGATCTACACAACAAACAGGAGGTGCATACACTTCTAGGTCTTCACATAACCAGAGCTCCATAACATAGACCCATGCCACACTCTGGGGCACACAAAAAGTATATCAAGACACACACACACACACACAACATGCCTTGCCATATGTGAAACACAGATGTATGCACAATCAGAGATATCCACAACTCTCCTAAGTTTACAGACAACACTGCTGGGCATTCGCACACACATTTAGGCACCACAGCACATGGGCACTTGTGCAGGGCCCCTGCCTCCTGCTGACAGGGTAGAGATGGCATTCCCGGAGGGGCTGCTGGGGCGGTGGTGGTTCCCAGTTCCCGACAGGCACAGGAAGCTGGCAGACTCAGGGTGACCAATTGACCTTCAGGCTTTACCCTCCCTCTGCACCCCTCCTTCCTCATTTCTCAAATGACTGGCGTCACTGGAGGGGGGGAGGGGGACTCAGGCATGGTGTTGAGACTGCGGATGGGGGGTGGGGTGAGAGGAATCCTCCAGGCATCATGCCAGAGAAACAATCAGACGCATGTGTGACACTCTACTCAGGCAGACGCATAGCACACACCAGTGGACGATGCATTCATGATTGCATACGTGACCTACAACTCCCAGAAGCAAACAGCAAAAAAATAATCAGGCACACCTGACTCTCAGGGATGGGCTTACAACACACAGAGGGGCACACATGCAACTCCCAGCAGCAGAAACATAGCAGAGAGCTGTGTGCGCACATGCGTAACCAGCTCCGCTTGCCAAGGTTTCTAGGTCTTTTTCATAAACCGTCCTTGCTTCCCCTGGACCTGAGCCTGAACACAATGCTGTGGATATGTGTAAGTATGTGCCCTTTCAGGTACACACTGCAGGGGACTTTGGATCCCTAGATTTGAATCTTTCTTTCTTTCTTTCTTCTTTTTTTTTTTGTACCAGACATTGAACCCAAGGGTGCTTTACCATGGAAACACATCCTCTGCCCTTTGTAAATATTTTTTTTCATTTTGTTTTAGAGACAGTGTCTCACTGAGTTGCTAATTGCCTTGATAAGTTGTTGAGGCTGGCTTTGAAATCGTGACCCTCCTGCCTCAGCCTCCCATGCCACTGGGATTACAGGCATGTGCCACTTAGAGTCTTGCTCTGTTGCTCAGGCTGGTCTTGAACTCCCGGACTCGTTTGATCCTCCTAGCTGGGTGCAGTGGTACACAACTGTAAACCCAGCTACTCAGAAGGCTGAGGCAGAAGGATGGCAAGTTCAAGGCCAGCCTCAACAACTTAGGGAGAGGGCTGGGGATGTGGTTCAAGCAGTAGCGCGCTCGCCTGGCATGCGTGTGGCCCGGGTTTGATCCTCAGCACCACATACAAACAAAGATGTTGTGTCCGCCGAAAACTAAAAAATAAATATTAAAATTCTCTCTCTCTCTCTCTCTCTAAAAAAAAAAAAACAGTTTAGGGAGATCAGAGTTGGGGCTGTAGATCACTGGTAGAGCACCCCTGGGTTCAATCTCCAGTAACACAAAAACCAAAAACAAAAAAATCAAGGGATCCTCCTTTCCACCTTAGCCTCCCCAGTAGCTGGGACTTTCAGGCAGGCACCAATGGGCCCAGCTTCCATACTTGAATCTTGGCCTCTCCTCTGCCTAAGGCCATTTGACATCCCAGATAGTTTGGTTAACCCTTCTGGGACTCAGTTTCTTGTTGTGTACAATGGGCACAATCAGACCAAGCACTTGGTACATTGTGGGGATCATCCCTTGTATACATGACAACTGGTCCCTTTGGGCCACCATACCTCTCCAACTCCCCAGATGGTCACAGATCCAGACACCCCTCTGTGAAACCCACATCCACCCCATTTCAAACCTGTGCAATAACCCAGATCCATACAACTCCTCAGAAGTAAATAGTCGGCAAAACTGAGTGCTGACTCAGATTTCAGAGATAAAGAGTTGGCGTCAGAAGCAGGGTCAGTGAGGAACCAAGACAGGACTTTCCCTGTCTTCACTTCTCCCTCAATCCTGCCATGGAGTTACTCAGACCCCTGTCTCATTTACTCTCACTCCCCGACTTTCACAATCAGCTTCTACAAATTTTTGGTTTTCTTTCCTTCCTCCTTTTATTGTCCCTCCAATGTAGTCATTTCTTCACCCTCATTCCTGGGCAGATGGCTCGACCCCTATTGTGTCTCAGTTTCCTCATTGTGTAATGAGTATATGAACCGTATCTAGGGGATGTCGGGAAGAGTATCAGCTAGCATTAATGAACAAGGAGGTGGGTCACGGGGACTGATTGAAAGAGATAATGTACATACAATGGCTTCAGAGCACCGCTCATGCACGGTAAACACTCCGTAAGTGCTGATAGTGGTTTGCATTGTGTTGTTGTGGTTATTGAGCTAATCTCCCTAAGTTAACCAAACTTAATTAGCAAGGAGGTAGCAGACAGTGAATGAGATAATTTACACTAAATCCAAAGCCCACAGTACACAGTAAGTACTCTGTAGGAGGCTGCTGTCATCATCCTCTCACCATTATTGGTCTATCCTCCCTAAATTGACCAAGAATGTTCATCAGCCCTCAGAACCCTCCCCAGGACACCCGGGAATATTCCTGCATCATTGGGAAGCTGGTGGGCAGGGGTTGCCTCATTCCACCCCCCACCAGGGGTGTGGAACAGTTAGTGGGGTAGGGGCAGGGCAGGATGGGGTGGGGAACGGGTTTTTACTGACTCACTAACTTCTTTCACCACCATTCACTCAACCCCCCTCCTAATGCTCTCTGATGCTCACCAGCACCATTCCCTGCCTTCCAGTACTGTGCCATACTTGGGTTGGGATCCCAGAGTCACTGAGCCTAGATTCAAACCCAGCCATGCCTTGTCTCCACTACCTTTATGTCTCATATTTCCTCATTTGTAAAAAGGGAATCCTACTTGTTTCCACCTTCAAGGCTTGTTGTGAGCTTGAAGTGAGATAAATAACTATGCTGATTGCCTGGTACAGAGTCAGTGCTATATAAATGCTATTTGCCTGAGTATGTGCTTTTATTTGTTTTTGTGTTTTTTATTTGATTTGCGGCACTGGGGATGCAACATAGGGATTCATGTGTGCTAAAACTGTTTTGCCACTGAGCTACACCCTGTCTTGTCTTGTTCATGTGTTTTTTGAGAAAGGTTCTAACCCAGGCTGTGGCTCCATGCCGCCTGGTTCCAGTCTCAGTTCTACCACGTATTAACTCTATGTTCTTGTATAAGTCACATAAATCTTTTTTAAATTTTATTTATTTATTTTTGGTGGTGGTAGTGGTTCTAGGGATTGAACCCAGAGATGCTTTAACACTGAGCTACGTCTACTTTTTTTAAAATTTTTTTTTAGTTATAGATGGACACAATACCTTTATTTTTATGTGGTGCTAAGGATGGAACCCAGTGCCTCACACGTTCGTGCTAGGCAGGTACTCTACCACTGAGCTACAGCCCCAAACTCTCCACGTCCTTTTTATTTATTTTATTTTTTAAAAATGTTTTTATTAGTTATTGATGGACCTTTATTTATTTATGTGGTGCTGAGACTCAAACCCAGGGTCTCGCACATGCTAAGCAAGCGCTCTACCACTGAGCCACAACCCCAGCCCCTTACTTATTTATTTTATTTTGAGCCAGGACCTTGCTTGTTCGAGCCTCTATCTTAAGATCCTCGTGCTTCAGCCTCCAGGATCACTGGAATTACAAGCATATGCTACCATGCCTGGGAAGTCACGTAACCTCTTGGTGCCTCACTTTCCTCACTTTGTGTTTCTCCCCATTCGCTTGCCTTATCTCCCTCCACCGCTTCTGCTTAATTTGTCCCCTGTCCACCCCCTCACCAGAACGTCAGACACACCAGGAATGGAAGGGGGTTTTATGGGCTCGGCACACAGTTGATGCACAATGTTGAAAGAATGAAATAAGTCGGGCTTCGGCCGTGGGGAATTTGGGAGATGTGGGTGATTGGAGAGAACTGGGCGATTTCAGGGACTTGGCGGACTGTCGCCTCTCCTAGGAGGCCGCTAGGCAGGAATGCTCACGACGTGGAGCTGGGGGAGGGGTGCGGCGGGCGTGGCGGGCGGGAGGAGCGGGCGGGCAGAGGAGGGTGGCTCTTTGGGCTGCCCTGCTCTGATGGTGGGCGGATGAGTAATAACATCCAGGA